GTCCTCGTTCTCCTCGTTCTCCTCGTTCTCCTCGGCCTCCTTGGGCTCGACCCGGTCCCGTTGCTCGCTGGACGTCCGCTGGGGATGTCCTCGACCGGCGGCTTCGCCGGCGAGGCTGTCACTCGCCGCGGTGGTGTTGGCCGGCCAGCCGTTGCCCTGGAACAACAGCCAATCGGACACTCGGACACCGACGATTAATTGTTCCGCCGGGCCAAGTCGTTCAAGGATTCGACTCGTTAGCTCGCCCGCGTCCGAGTTTTCAGCCAACGGGAGTGCACAAGCGACGGCGGTTTTTGTCGCGCCGGACGACGGAGCTCTGGGTCTATCGAAACAGGCCATCTGACCGGACGCGGTTCGGGAATGCGATCTCGATGGTTTCAAGGAGGATGTGTGAACGGTGTTAATTATTCCGGTATAAATAAATGGAGGTTGCCGGGCGAGATGGAAGGATTATGACTCCGGGCCGGGAGTTATTAACGCTTCGCGCTCGAAAGTATTTCCTGCGAGAATATTCGTTCGTTTCCGATGCAGCGCCGATTAATGCTACTTTATTCTTGCGTTTAACGGGAACGTATAAAATGTATGATATCGGATATCGGATTTTATAGGTTCGCTACATCGAGGCGAACGGCGAGCATGAGTCACCTCTCGAGTGCCAAGGGTAACATTGATTTGTGGGGCTTGCTTCTTCAGCTGGCTCCCGGCGCGCCGTTTTCAAGGGAATAAGTTACTTTCTTCGGCACCTTCCGATAGGTCGTCTCTAAGGTAACGACACAATGCATTATGCATACGATGACCTATGGTTAGATGCTCGAACAGTGGGCAACATGATTTAGCTGCGAGGAACCGATCGAACTTCGGCGGTTTGCATATTATTGGCATTCTTTTTCGGGTGAGTCATTTAGGAAGTTTCGACCGCGCTGTAATTTTCCTACACTTCTAACGATCGAGGACCAACCCTTCGCGCTCGAAGCTTTCTTTACTCATTTTCTCGGCAACGAATTAATTTCAGCGTCATCGATGTGTCTCTTACCTCAGAAACAAACGTTATAACGTATTTATCGAGAAAATCCACAGTTTACAATAACAGATTCGAGCTTCCCTGAATACTCTAGCATTTCCCTCGGTGCGAGCAGCGATTCCCATCCGGTAGCAATTAAAAAATAAAACCGAGGAACAGTAGAACGGTCCGGAGAATTGGTTCGATTTCGAGCGAGTTCTAATTTCGCGTCGGCTAATTTTAACGGTTTCCGCGGCGAACCGTGATCGCTCGTAAATAAGTCCGCGCTAAACCAAATCAACGGCAACGTTCAATTATACCGGACGACGGACGGACGTACCCCGGTCCATTCGTCACCAGCTTTCACGTTTGACCCTTTTTATTCGAGCCCCGCCGTTTAATTTATTTATACGAGCGACGCCTGGGGACAGGGCGCCAGGGCCGGGGGCGGTTGTAAATTTAATTGATCGCGCGACACGCCGTTCCGACGCGTTTATTAGGGCCATCGGCCTGTTTCGATTGATATTCATTTATTTACGTGATTTTCCAAGGGCCGAGTCGTGTTTGCGCGAACGGCTGGACTCGTCTGGCCGTTCACGGTTCGTCGGCAAGCCGGAAGCGACGCGCCGGCAATTACGCGGAATTAATTGGGGGTGTGTACGTGTTTGGCCGGCGTAATTGACAAGTTCGTAACTTCGGTAATTAGGATCAAATAAAATAATCCCGCCCCGTTTTCCTTCTGCCGTCGGAAAATCCCCGGGAAACTTTCGTGACCGTCGCACGTCCCGTTTTGTTTGCGCGATTTTTCGAGGATCGCGTCGCTGTGCGCGCGCTGCCCGCGGGGAACAACGGCCCGGGACTCTCTATTAATCAAAAAGGGAAATAATATTCTGATAAGACTTAATGAAACTCGCACGGCGAAATGGAACGCTGGTAATTTATAAAGACCGCCGGACACGGGAGCTTTGTTATGGCTGAACGTCCCGTTGTTCGGGCGAAACGGTTATTAACGTCGAATACCTCGTTTTAGTGTGAATACGTTACGTTAATACAAAGTTTTTGCAATCGAACAAATACCGTTATCCGACGAGCCACGAATACACGGGCTTCAGGAACGTTATCAGTATATTGCGTTTCAAACTCGACTCATTATTCGCGAAGTTAATAATTCACATTTCCGAACTGCAGCTCGCGGTGCGCGTGAATTTAACAAACACGCTTTGAAGAATCCCTCCTACAGCTTCTGTCTATCCGCGGTGTTATTTGCCCAATTAAATCAAATAATTCTAGTTCCAGAGTGCACAGAAGTTCCTAAAAGTGGCACAGCCATCCTCAGACTTATTCGCCGGAATAACCGTCGGTCTGAATATGTATCGTGCATAATCTCTGCTTGAATCGGTCTGGCGCGGCATTCCGGTGTGCGCCGGAACCGGAAACGACGATCATGATCCCGAGATACTCACCGGTGCGGCTGGCAACGCCGTTTCCTGCCCGCTGCTGCCGGCAACTGCAACCAAAAACGAGAAACGGGATTCATTAGTTTTCCGCGGGGAGGAGTCTCGTCGGGGCTGCTTATGAAGAACAGACACCGCGAGCGTGCTAATTAATCCTTTATACTCCGCGTTTCCGTTCCCTCTCTTCGCGGTGTTCGTAAAAAGGCATCTTAACGTCCCGCGCACGCGTCGGCGAAGAAGGTGGACCGACGCGTTTCACGATCGACGGCGATGCGAACGCAGCGATGCGCCGAACTAAATCGAATCAAAGCTGAAACGTGTATTCCGATGAAAGCGGAACCTTTAACATCCGGCTCGCAGCTTCAGCGAGCAAAGGGTCAAAGGGTTCCGTGCGCCGAATAGACGTAACTCTTTAAATTATATTCTATAACTCCCGCTGCCAGCGTCCTTCGCTTTGTTCGGTGTTTCCAGTGATACTCGAGGACACTCGAGCGAGCCGCTCCATGTATATTTTTCCCTTTCACCGCGCGCAGATGATAAAAGGTGAAAGAGGGAGACCGGCCGCGACGGGGGAGGACCGGGGGTAAGTTAATTAACGGACGAACGAGGGTGGAAATGAAACACCGAAGACAATGTTGCGTTATCGGGCACCAACGGCTCGCTCGTCGAACCTAATTCGGTTAACGAGAATCGACGAAACCGGCGCGCAGCGGCGCGAACCCGGACGGGGCGAGGAATTAAACGCGAAACAATGGGAGGCCGGAACGTCGAAAGCGAAAGAATCGCGACGGGAACACGGGGATACAGTTCGAATCGTGACGGAGCGGGTGCGAGAGAGGGAAACGGAGCGGGAGGCGAGCTCGCGGAACGCGGGAAGCTCCCGGGGAAGAGGGAGTGGAGGCGTCTCGACGTTGGAAACGACGGGTTTTTCGAGCGTTGCGAAAACGCTCGGTCCCCTGAATGCGGAAGCAACTCATTTCCTAGATTCATCTCGTCATCATAATTAAGTCTGGGAATATTAGAGCGCTCCCGGCGTCCGCTTCCCGCCGACGCCGGGACAAGCGACGAGCCTTTTTCTACTCTCCGGACGGGAATCTCGGCTCCCAATTAAATTCGTTACTCTAAGTATCTGTTTGCTCTTATTCCCAGCGGCCCTCTCTTCTTCGCGTGTTTTTCCATTCACACGCGACCTTTTGGAGACGGACGACAGGCGAGGCTGACGGAAGCGGAGTTCGGCGGCGACGCGAACCCGAGAGGCTACCGTGGACTCGCGGGCAGCCGTTTAATCGGCTCGATTGCGCGACACGCCCTTCGACGGAGTGTTTACTCCGCGTAATTACGCTCGCGGAGCCACACGTTTGTTCAGCCACTCGGCGGTGACGCGAGAGGATCCTGCGGAAGAAGTTCGTAGACCGATCGGCGTTCGTTTGATGCCTTCGACGCTGTACAAATTTCGCGTCACCCTTTGGGTGTCTTGGGTCCACAATTTTCTTGCGCATATTTGCTCTCGGTCGGCCAGCTTCGCTGTCGGCGTTACATTTTGCAACACACGCGCGCTGCTCGTCGAAACCGAAGTAGAATTTTTGCAATATCAATACCGGCGGAAGTGCTCTTCAGCGAAGAGTAATTTAACACGTTCGCGGACGCGCATGCTGTAGCGTTCATTTCCATCGTGACGCGAAATGACACGAACGCTGCAACGCTGAAGTTTATAAGCCACATTGTCAGGAATCTCATTCTACGTAGCCTCAATCTTTTGAAATTATTCTTTCTATTTTTGCAGCTCGTTAGAATCTTTACTGCCCGCGACCGTGTGAACGAATTCATTCGCAGAGCTTGAGAATGTTCGGAATAAGCATCGGAGTCTTCAAACGGTCGCCGGTTCCTATTTTCTTCAGTTTACAAGTGTAACCGTCGGTTCATTTCAAAAGTCTTCTCCAATATTCGAGCTTCAAAGACTGACGAAGTGTCGCCGGTGAAAAACGAGCGTCTCCTTCGAGGATGCTCGACCACCGGTGAAATACAGGAGATCGAGTTGTTGACTCCCGGAGAAACCGATCTGCGGTATTTCCCGGCGACCCGAGGGTTTAATCCGGCGACTCCTCGGTCGCATTGCGATCGACGGGAAGCTCGGCATTCTGGCTTGTCATATTCGCCAGGACTTCACGGACGGTCTCCGGCGCGGAATTTTTCAGCGCGTCGCGGCGAATTAAAATTCTTAAGGTGTACGCTTGCTCC